TCTATGAATTCCTTTGTATTCTTTTCCTAAATTGCAAAGATCCCAATGGAATTTCCATGGGTCCTGCTAGTAATGGATAGGCCACTATTAAAAGTATAAAGAATAGGATTTCTTTTTTTCTCTATTATTCAAATCTATGAATTCCTTTGTATTCTATTCTAAATTGCAAAGATGCCACAATGGAATTTCCATGGGTCCTGCTAAATTGGATAGGCCACTATTTTATAAAGAATAGGATTTCTTTTTTTTCTCTATTATTCAAATCTATGAATTCCTTTGTATTCTATTCCTAAATTGCAAAGATGCCACAATGGAATTTCCATGGGTTAGTAATGGATAGGCCATTTATTTTATAAAAATAGGATTTCTTTTTTCTATTATTCAAATCTATGAATTCCATGTTCTATTCCTAAATTGCAAAGATATTACAATGGAATTTCCATGGGTCCTGCTAGTAATGGAAGGCCACTATTTAAAAGTATAAAGAATAGGATTTCTTTTTTCTCTATTATTCAAATCTATGAATTCCTTTTTTCTATTCTAAATTGCAAAGATGCCCACAATGGAATTTCCATGGGTCCTGCTAGTAATTAGGCCACTATTTAAAAAGTATAAAGAATAGGATTTCTTTTTTTTCTCTATTATTCAAATCTAATTCCTTTGTATTCTATTCCTAAATTGCAAAGAGACAATGGAATTTCCATGGGTCCTGCTAGTAATGGATAGGCCACTATTTAAAAGTATAAAAGAATATTTTTTTTTTTCTCTATTATTCAAATCTATGAATTCCTTTGTATTCTATTCTAAATTGCAAAGATGCCCACAATGGAATTTCCATGGGTCCTGCTAGTAATGGATAGGCCACTATTTAAAAGTATAAAGAATAGGATTTCTTTTTTCTCTATTATTCAAATCTATGAATTCCTTTGTATTCTATTCTAAATTTGCAAAGATGCCCCCAATGGAATTTCCATGGGTCCTGCTAGTAATGGATAGGCCACTATTTAAAAGTATAAAGAATAGGATTTCTTTTTTTTCTCTATTATTCAAATCTATGGAATTCCTTTGTATTCTATTCCTAAATTGCAAAAGATGCCAATGGAATTTCCATGGGTCCTGCTAGTAATGGATAGGCCACTATTTAAAAGTATAAAGAATAGGTTTCTTTTTTCTCTATTATTCAAAAATTCCTTTGTATTCTTTTCCTAAATTGCAAAAGATGCCACAATGGAATTTCCATGGGTCCTGCTAGTAATGGATAGGCCACTATTTAAAAGTATAAAGAATAGGTTTTTTTTTTCTCTATTATTCAAATCTATGAATTCCTTTGTATTCTTTTCCTAAATTCAAAAGATGCCTGAATTTCCAATGGAATTTCCATGGGTCCCCTAGTTATGGATAGGCCACTATTTAAAAGTATAAAGAATAGATTTCTTTTTTTTCTATTATTCAAATCTATGAATTCCTTTGTAATTCTAAAGCTCAAGAATTTCCATGGGTCCCACTAGTAATGGATAGCCCACTATTTAAAAGTATAAAGAATAGGCTCATTATTCAAATTATAATTCTTTGTATTCTATTTAAATTGCAAAGTGCCACAATGGAATTTCCATGGTCCTGCTAGTAATGGATAGGCCACTATTTAAAAGTATAAAGAATAGGATTTTTTTTTTTCTATTATTCAAATCAATTCCTTTGTATTCTATTCTAAATTGCAAAGATGCCCACAATGGAATTTCCATGGGAAATTGGATAGGCCAATTTTATAAAGTTTCAAATCTATGAATTCCTTTGTATTCTATTTTTAAGATGCCCACAATGGAATTTTCATGGGTCCTGCTAGTAATGGATAGGCCACTATTTAAAAGTATAAGAAATTTTTTTTTTTCTCTATTATTCAAAATGAATTCCTTTTGCAAAAAGATCCCTAATGGAATTTCCATGGGTCCTGCTAGTAATGGATAGCCACTATTTAAAAGTTTCAAAATATATTTCTTTTTCTCTATTATTCCATATTCCTTTGTATTCTATTCAGGATGTCGGGTGATTTCCATGGGTCCTGCTAGTAATGGATAGGCCACTATTTAAAAGTTTAAAGAATGTTTCTTTTTTTTTGTAGCATTGAAATCTATGAATATATTTTCAATGGAATTTTTCCTATCTTAATCTATCTATAAAGAATAGGATTTCTTTTTTTCTGCTATTATTCAAATCTGAATTCCTTTGTATTCTATTTGTAAATTACAAAAGATGCCCACAATGGAATTTCCATCATTTACTAATGGGGCCATTATTTAAAACTATAAGAATAAGATTTCTTTTTTTTTTATTCAAATCTATGAATTCCTTTGTATTCTATTCTAAAATTGCAAAGATGCCACAATGAAATTTCCATGTCCTTAATAATGGATAGCCACTATTTAAAACTATTAAGAATAATCTTTCATGTTTTTTCAATCCTCCTTTTTATCAGTCTTCTCTTTCACTTTCGCTCTCTCAACCCTCCCCTGCATACTAGTGACATTTCCTTCTTGCTTGGGGTGAAACGATTAACAAAAATAAATTATATAAAAAGAAGTATATACTGAAATGTTTACCAACGTTTGTTGGCTGATACCAATTTTATTTTGGAAATATTGATTTGCATAATAGAATCTAACATTGCTAATTTCCTTTTACATACAGCGTCCTTTCACTAAATGGGCAATTATGGCTCTCCACGTCTTTCTATACATTGTAACTCCAAGTAATGCTTATCTCTTTGCTACTCCTCCCATTCCAGGTTCTGTGATCCATTTTCTCAAGCTTATTCAGTAGGTTACTCCCTGTTTCCCACTTGCAGTCTCTATATCCTGTGGCGTGTCAAGTTCTCCAAGCACTCTTTCCTCACTCTGTTTCAGAAATTTAAGCTGTTTTCAACTATCACTTTCTGATTTGAAATATAAGTGACCTTTGTTGTTCCCATTTTTTTAAAAACTTTCTTATTGCTTGCATGTTCTATTCATGGTATTCTCATTATCCTTCTGTAGAACCACATATCTTTTGCCCAAAGTCTCTTTTTCATCTGTGAGGAAATTTTCCCGCATTCATTGCTGTTATGATGTTAATTTGGGTTAATAAAGACAAACGCCAAATAACATGTAACAATAAAATGGGGTTTATTAGGGTTGGTAAGTAAATTTGGTAAACAAATATCGCCTGAGTAGTCTATAACTAACTCAGCTCAGAACTTCTTGGTATTTATCATTTCTCCTAAGCCGGTTTTATTGTGGGTTTCTCCGAGCCCGTAGGCTGTAAAAAACCTTTGAAGGCCGATTAGACAAGGCCCTGTCTACCTCCCCAGACGAAACCTTGCCCCTTTCAGGTTCCTCTCTCTTGTTATACGGTTGAAGGTCAAGAACTTCAGGACATTGTCTTTTGACATACCACTATTTTACGTCCTTGTTTTAGATGAGTTCATCTTCATTAGGTTCCCACACAACAATTACCATATATGGGAACTGAAATTGTACAATTGTTTAATAATTTTTCTGTTTCTTTATACTTTGCTTAGCTTTTGGAAGGCAATGTTGGCTATCCCAATGTGTCTGTGGATAATAATATGAAGGATAACATATAGTCTTCTTCTTCTTCTTCCATATGCTGTATTCCTTCAGGATGTCGGTGACTATAGCTCTCCACAATTTTCTGGTCTTTGTAGCACTGAATATATTTTGTCTTTTTGTTATCTATCTTAAAAATTTGTTCTGCCAGCCATTTACTCATGCTCATTTAGTAGGCTATGAACTTTTTTCCTCTGTTCATCTTGCCATTAATCTGTCCTGCGAGTATCAAATTTTCCAAGCCCCTTTTTCTCATTGTGTACCCCAGACATTTCAACTGTCTCTTCTTGATGTTATGCGTAGGTTTCATTTTTGTTTCTATTTTCTCTAAAATTTTGCCATTGCTCACATGTTCAGTTCATTGTATTCTCAGCATCCTTCTGTAGAACCACATATCTATTGCCTCAAGTCGCTTCTTTATCTATAAGGAATTGTCCAGATTCATTATGCCATATAGGGGGACTGAAATTGCATAATTTCCTGTCCTTTGTAGCTCTTAATAAATTTTATCTTTTTTTTATCTCTCCTAATCCCTGTTCTGCCAACCATTTACACATCCTCATTCTTCTTCTTCTATATGTCGTGTCTCTTCAGGACGTTGCTGATCATGGCTCTCCACAATTTCCTCTCATTTGTAGCTCTTAATAAATTTTGTCTTTTTGTTATCTCTCCTAACCCATGTTCTGCCAACCATTTACACAAGCTCCTTCTTCTTCTATATGTCGTATCTCTTCAGGACGTTGCTGATCATGGCTCTCCACAATTTCCTGTTCATTGTAGCTCTTAATAAATTTTGTCTTTTTTTTTTTATCTCCTAATCCCTGTTCTGCCAACCATTTACACAAGCTCCTTCTTCTTCTTCTATATGTCGTATCTCTTCAGGACGTTGCTGATCATGGCTCTCCACAATTTCCTGTTCATTGTAGCTCTTAATAAATTTTGTCTTTTTTTTATCTCTCCTAATCCCTGTTCTGCCAACCATTTACACAAGCTCCTTCTTCTTCTTCTATATGTCGTATCTCTTCAGGACGTTGCTGATCATGGCTCTCCACAATTTCCTGTTCATTGTAGCTCTTAATAAATTTTGTCTTTTTGTTATCTCTATATGTGGGGAAGATAATGGTTAATCCTAAACTTGAACAGTTTAAGATTGAAATGATCGAGGAAGCATCTTTTTGGGGAATAGGTTCCACAATGCAGTGGTTCATGGGGAGAATCTGCTCAGGTGAAAACTTACATCTCACCAGTGAAATACAAAGGGAATGAGGGTGGTTCACTTCAATGTGCATAACATACTTCACACCTAGTAGTAGTAGATCTAGTAGTAGTAGATCTAGTATTCTTAAACTCACTGAAGTAATAAAAATCTCTAAAGGAAAATATTTTTCTTTCTTTCAGATTGTTGGTCCTTTTATTCACATTGGTCTGATTTTTATTGTGACTCTGCTCACATGGATTTTAGTCAAACAGTGGTACATTTTGGAGCGTTTTGGTAAGTATATATTGTTATATCTTTGTATTTTGTTTCTTCCCATCATCATTGCTGAGAGTCAGGGATCATGGACTATTGTTATGGTTTTGAATTCAGAGTTCCTTCTCCTAGACTGATTACCAACCATGGCTAGAGAGTCCAGTCTGTCCTGATATTTAACCAATAGCTAGGGGAAGAAGAGATGGATTCATATTTTCCCCACCGGTATTTGTGTATAATGTAATGAACTTGACTGGAATTCAAACATGTCTTTCCTATTTCTCATTTTGTGCCGGTATCCATGGCATCACCCACACAGTCTTCTCATTCCACTGACAATGTTTAAGCATATCTTGTCTAGTTTTTATGTAGTTCCTGTCCAGTTATTGCTCCCCACTGTTTTCATGGAATTGAACACAAAATTACTATATCACCAAATTCATCAACCAATGATTTAACCCAATAGTTTATTGTTATGTGGGACAATCCTGAGTGGAGAACTTGGAACCTTAAACCTAACCTGCCTGTTGATGACTACTGCTGCAGCTTGTTATGCTTGACTGTACTCACTGAGGTTTCTTTTTCTACTGCTGTTGCTGTTCATAATTCTCACCAAGAAAAAGTTACTATCTGTGGGTTCTGAATCTTTTTCTGATGATCCCGAAGCTGATTACCAAACTGCAGATCATCCACCTTCATCACAAGGATGAAACTGGTGACCACTTGAAAGGTTGCAACAAAGGTGATGAAGGAGTCCCATCTAAGCCAAGTTAGAAATCAGTGATCTTTCTCTTAGACTGGCAGCCAGCCAAAAAGGCTAACCTATATACCAAGGGGTAGTGAACTATACAAGTGGCTGAGTTATTTGATATGCCATCATACTTATGAAGTATTTGATATAAGCACATTTTCTCACCATGTTGGTGAGAAAAACCAGTTACCATAAAATATCTGATACAAGAATCAGATTAGATCCCATAATTTTGTTTTAGCTAATGCATGGTTTTAACTTCTTTAAGAAAAAAATTACCTGCATAGAGTGTGCCCACTACTTTTTGCATAAAAAACTGATTATAAAATTACATTTATATATATATATATATATATATATATATATATATATATATATATATATATATGGTGTATAACATGACGCTGAAAAGTCATGATTTTAACCTCTTCAAGAAAATTACCTTTTCATAGTGCACCCACTAAGTTTTTGCATAAAAAAACTGATCATAAAAATTTGCACCTTACTCGAGTATAATATTTACATATATTTTTATATATATATATATATATATATATATATATATATATATATAAATATGAAAATTGAACATTGAAAAACTCAGAGGTGACAGGTTGTTTCATGCTAGACGCAATCATGGCCTTTCAAATTATCCCTACACAGTGCCAAATGGTTTCACAGGCCACCATGACACATTGATGAAGCATTTCTGCATTATTAATGTCTGTTGCATAAACCAATTGTTTTCAGTGGCCTCACAGATAAAAATCCAAAGGACTGAGGTCAGGAGAATGTGCAGGCCATGGAACTAGTCCTCCCCTACTTCTCCATCTTTCAGGGTAGATGTCAACCAGTGCTTTGCAAACAATGTGACTAAAATGTGCTGGAACCTCATCATGCATGAACCATATTTATATTAGCAGGAGTACATCCTCTAGCAGGTTTGGAAGTGTGTTTGTAATAAAATCCCTGTAGACAGCTCATGTAAGACATGCTGGGAGAACATATGAACCTACCTGACAGTCACCTACAATTCCAACCCATGCATTAATTGCAAACTGATGCTGGTGTCTAGCCTGTATTCTACCATGGGGATTCCGATCAGCCCACAAGTGTTGGTTGTATAAATTTGTTATTCCATCTCTTTCAAATGTCGCTTCATCCGTAAACAAGACTGAAGAGACAAACAATGGATTGGCAGTTTGTGCAATAAACCATCGGCAAAAGTTCTTGTGTGGTGAATGATCAGATGTCAGAAGACCCTGCACACATTGTAAATGATACAGAAGTTGCTCTTGAAGTACCCTCCTTGTGGTACTATGGGGTGTACAACATACTCGAGTCACTTGGTGTGTGCTGATACCTGGATCATCTCTGACAGCCTGTAAAATGAAAAGCTACAAAGGGTAGAAAATTCTGGAGAGCCATGATCACTTACATCCTGAAAGGACATGATACATGAAAAAATGAAGAATTGATGTCTACTGGCCTGGGCATTTGAAATTGTGCCTTTCAGTGTGTTCATACCTGAATCAATCTTATATTAAAGGAAATTAAATTTAAGCTAGGGGCATTAAGAAATGATGTTGGCTTTAAAATAAAATCCATTGTTAGAAATTACTTCATGTTTGAAGTACAAAAATAAATTCAGCTGATATGAGCTATGAAAGATTTGTGTCGAAGATGCACATTTCTAAAAAAAGGCAAATTCAGCCTTGGTTTGCTGCATTGTTTTTCATTGCGGAGTAGTCTGAATCATACCTAACTTAAGGGTGTTTTTTCCAATATAAGGGTAGATTGTGGTAATAAAATAATTACACCCTATCTCTCCTTTTGCGTGTAACCATCCATCACAATAAAATAAAAGATTTTCAGCACTAAAGCAGAATGAATCAAATAAAGCTTCATAGGCCTCTACTTAGAGTTGTTACTATATTACAATTTATTTGACTGATTCTCTTTCGCAAAAGGTTGATAAGCTGTAGAAAATGAATGAACAAACCAATCAATGAAATACTGATTAGCTACACATGCCTGTCTTTTAGATTTATTTACATTCTCTGGAATAGAAATGTATAGAAACTACCGTGTCCATAAAGTGAGGGATCAGTTTATATATTGATTGTAATATAGAATTGATCTCCCACTTTATATCCACCTTATAATTTCTTGTTTATTGATAAGCCATAGAAAATGAATGAATCAATCAATGAAATTCTGATTAGCCACACAGGCATGTCTTGGATTTATTTACATTCACTGGAATATAAAGTTATAGAAACTACAGTGGCCACAAAATGAGGGATCAGTTTTTATATTGATTGTAATATAGAATTGATCCCCCAATTTATGTTCACATTATAATTTCTTTTTTGTTTATCAAATTCTGATTAGATATGAATCTATTTCTTCTCCCCTGTCTATGGATTAATTAGTAAAACTTGTATTACTAAATCATTACTATCTCAAAAAAATATTCTTACAATCTAAAATATTTTTTGGCATTAAATAACCTGCAAAAGGTTGATAAGCTGTAGAAAATGAATGAACAAACCAATCAGTCAAATACTGATTAGCTACACAGGTATGTCTTTTAAATTTAATTACATTCTCGGGAATATAAAGGTCTAGAAACTACCATGGTCATAAAGTGAGGGATCAATTTATATATTGATTGTAATATAAAATTGATCCCCCATCTTATGTACACATTATAATTTATTTGTTTATCAAAATCTATAAATCTATAACTTTCCCCAGCTGTAGGTTAATTAGTAAGATATGTGTGGTAATAAAATAAGCATATCCCATCCCCCCACTAGCTTGTAGCCATCTATCGCAATAAAATAAACATTCTTCAGCACTTTAGCAGAATGAAATCAAATAAAACTTCATAAGCTTTTATTTAGCGTTTTTACTATATTACATTGATGCAGGTTTAAAGCCTTCGAAATGGCATAATTTGTTTATTAAAACATTTAAATGCCTAGGGCAACATAAACTACTGCATTGCAGCATTTAAATCATAAGCTAAAATTAACTTAATTGCTCCTATGCATGCTATTTTTGAGCTGTAAATTGATTCAGTACTTAAAACTATTTTTAATACATGACCAAATCAGCCAATTAAAAATAAATATATAGATAGATGTATATAAGACATACTCACAAATGTATGTATGTGTCTTATATATATATATATATATACTAGCAGCATGTCCCGGCATTGCCCGTGCTTGATTCAAAAATCATACGATTCCTACAGCAATCGCTATCACTTGACTTAAAATATTTTTGCCCTTCCTTGCCTTTAAAGGAGTGCCCTTTGCTGTGCTGATGTTGCTACATGCCTTACTTCTTGCCTATCTCGCACTGTGAATTTTTTCTAAGCTTTATACTAAACATTAAATCTGTTACAAAAAAAGAACTAAACAAAATGAACACAAAACGATCAGCTTTAAAAAAAAGGACTCGTAACTGGAAGAACCGAATGAAAAAAAGAATGTTAACAACAAATACTTTTTCACACCCAATCCAGTTCTGCGGAATCAGAATCAACGTTGAGTTTAAGCAAGCAAATGAGCCAATTGGAGTAAAGTGCCATGCAGATTTAAATTTTTCCCACTTGTGACGAATGCAACTATCGGTTTTTTTTTTTTGCTAGTTAACATTCATGTCAGTCAGCTGTTGGCTCTCATGCTGGCCAATAGAATCTTCCTGCCTATTCATGGCAGCCAGCTATTGGCTCTCACTCTGGCCAGTAGAAAATGGCAGCAAACTACATGAAAATTGCCATAGAAGCATGAAAAAATCGATTATTTCCACTATCGATGGGAGTTGGGAAATGCAAAGTCGGTCTTGGCCTTCCCGCTAACTTGGAACATGTGCATGTAAATTTTGGTGCAAATCTGTTGAAAATTGCAGCCGTGCATTCGTTACACACACACACACACCCACATCCTGCCTTTTATATATATATATATAAAAGGCAGGATATAATAGTAATAGCTGGCCACTCATATTTGAGGATACCCGTCTACTAGGGCAGTTAGGCAATCCCAATTACAGATGCAAATTTGTTTTTGCTTAACACCCACAGAGCCAACCTCTGGTTTATACTGCAACTATGCTGAGCAGACTTTAGTTACAGTTTCTGGGAGAGAGTATGTTATCTAGCACAATTTGAACAAGGCCTGCACACTCAAGCCCTCAGCCATGATGGCTTGTGGCTTTGTGCTAGCACAGCTATCGATGGCCCTCAAGAGTTCCGTCTCACCCATTTTCACTCACAAGGCTTAGGTCAACATTTGGTGTGGTTTTCAGGCACTTTCCAAAGGTGCCACATGCTGAGATCCTTCCTGATCTATCTATCTATCTATATATATATATATATATATATATATATGATATTTGATATATATATATATATATATATATATATATATATATATATATATATATATATATATGTGTGTGAAAAGTGTATATAAATATAAGTATGTATAATTATTTATATATTATATGTAGCGGTACTTATTAGAAAGTGCTCAATATCAGAGATAGAGCTAACATATTTGGTTGGATAGATGTGAGTTTGTGACTCTGGGTTTCACGTTTTAGTGATCGTCAGACTCTGACGACGCTTGAAACCCAGGTCACAAACTCACATCTATCCAACCAAATATATATATATATATATATATATATATATATATATATATATATATATATATATATATATATATATATATATATATATATATATATATATATATATATACTTTGATATATATATATATTTACACATATATATATATATTTACACATGCTCTATCTCTGATATTGAACACTTTATCCCATAAATATAGCATACCTTAAGACTATATTTCTTCATATATATATATATATATATATATATATATATATATATATATATATACTTTATATATATATATATATATATATATATATATATATATATATGGGATTACAAAATATGCATTTTTCATATATCAAGAACAATTTTAGGGGTATGAAGTATAGTATGACAAAGTGGGAAAAATTAGTTTTCATGTGACTTCATTAGACTAAGTAAACACAAACTTAGTCTGATGAGTCCTAAAGGACGAAACGTTCCACTTTAATATATATATATATATATATATATATATATATATATATTGGCAGCATGTCATTATTGAGGCATGTATTATTAAAGAGTATGCAACTTTTCTGTTTAATAATCTTTCTTTCAGTATTTTTCTTGCTTTCTTATGAGTTTCTTTATATTTGAGTCAAACTTGTTGAAAAAACGCCCCAGTCCTTGGTGTTTGCTGAGCATTTTTGGTTGTCATCAACCGTCATAATTGCTGTATGTTTTGGATTGAAGTAAGTTGCTCTTTATTTTTATAGATAATATTTTGGGGCATCCTGGCCATGTTGTTCATTAGCAATTAAGAAGTGGTTGGTATTTATTATTTGGAGGATTAGTTATTAAATATGTTTAAGATGTTTCTGTCAGTATTAAATCCTATGTTATTTATGTTAGGTTTATTGTTTTTAATTGTGATGGCTTCAAAAATTTGTAAGCATTTTTTTGCAATTGTTTCTGTAGAGGATTTTGGTATTGTTGATTAGGATTTTTCTTATTTCAGAGGATTTGAATCTGGTATTAGTGGTACAGTGTGTTGTTAAAAGGTGATTTTATTGGTGCTGGTGTCATTAAGATATTATGTAAGACAACATGAGAGAGTTGTGGTTGTGTGTCTGATGTATGTCCTAGGGTCAGTCTTGAAACAGGCATATAAACCTGTACACTAATAACTGTACCACGAATGACAGATTCAAATCCTCCAAAATAAGAAAAATCCTAATCAAGAAGTGTTTGAAGTGATCAATAGTGATGGTGACATTATGCCTCCATTTATATTCCTAAAGAGCCTCATATGGAGGCCTACATCAGTTGCCATAGGGAAGCAGTGGTGCCCTGGGTCAAGAGGGTGGCTGCTGGAAAATACTATGTCTGTCAATTTCTGGGACTACATCACCCCTTACATCTGGCCATCTAACCCCTGAGACTGTAACCATCTTGATTATTATGTGTGGGGTGCAGTTGAGTGAGAGACCAACAAAAATCCTTCTCTTATACCAAAGAGGAAGTGAGGGTTAGGATTATGGCAGCACTCACCAACATATACAAGGAGACTGTCCATAAGAGATGCAGGAGATTCCAAAATCATCTGTAGACTGTGGTTGAAGCCAATGGTGATTTTATTTAATTAAATTTACTCTTTAGTGTTTAAGATATTTTTTGTGTAATTTTGGCAAATAAATCTATTAAAAAGGAATATCAGTGTTATTTTTATTTTTGCGCAATTTACACAAGTTTTCAATCACACACTCTCTCTCTCTGGTTGCCACCGTGGACATGGCATGGCTGGTGGGAGTAAATGGATCCATGGTTTCCACCATTGACATGGCATGGTTGGTGGGACTACATGGATCCATGGTTGCAACTGTTGACATGGCATGGCTGGTGGGACTAAATGGATCCATGATCACCACCGTGGACATGGCATGGCTGGGGGGACTAAATGAATCCATGGTTGCCACGATGAACATTTTATGACTTGTGGGACTAAATTGATCCATGATCGCCACTGTGGACATGGCATGGCTGGTGGGATTAAATTGATCCATAATCACCACTGTGAATATTGTATGGCTTGTGGAGACTAAATTGATCCATGGTTGCTACTATCAACATGACATGGCTGCTTAGGACTAAGTGGATCCATGATTGACACTGTGAATAATGTATAGCGTGTGAGACAAAAGTGATCCGTGGTTGCTACCATCAACATGGTAAGGCTGGTGGGACTAAATGGATTCATGGTTGTCACTGTGGACATTGCATGGCTGGTGGGATTAAATGGATCCATGATCACCACTGTGGACATGGCATGGCTGGTGGGATTAAATGGATCCATGGTTGCCAACATGAACATGGCAGGTGGGATTAAATGGATCCATAGTTGCAACCTTGGACATGGCATGGCTGGTGAGATTAAATCGATCCATAGTTGCCACTGTGGACATGGCATGGCTGGTGGAACTAGATGGATCCATGATCGCCACTGTGAACATGACATGGCTAGGCGGACTAAGTTGATATCATGATCGCTACCATGGACATGCCATGGCTAGTGGGACTAAGTGGATCCATGATCACCACCATGAAGATTGTATGGCTTGTGGGACTAAATTGATCCATGGTTGCTACTATCAAAATGGCATGGCTGCTTAGGATGAAGTGGATCCATGATTGACACCATGAACAATGTATAGCTTGTGAGACTAAATGGATTCATAGTTGCCACTGTGGACATGGCATTGTTTGTGGGATTAAATGGATCCATGATCACCACGATAGACATGGCATGGCTGGCGGGATTAAATGGATCCATGATCACCGCCATGGACATAGCATGGCTGGTGGGATTAAATGGATCCATGATCGCCACCATGGGCATGGCATGGCTGGTGGGATTAAATGGATCCATTGTTGCCACCATGGGCATGGCATGGCTGGTGGGATTAAATGGATCCATGGTTGCCAACATGAACATGGCTGGTGGGATTAAATATATAATGGAAAATATGTATAATGGAAATGCATTGCTAATGATTTTACTATAGGAACGCTTTGAAAATAAGGAAGAAAGGGATTGTCAGTGGTCAGGAATGAAGGCAAGCATTACTTATAGAATAGGGCTATTATATGTATAATGGAAATGCATTGCTAATGATTTTACTATAGGAATGCATTGAAAATAAGGAAGAAAGGTATTGTCAGTGGTCAGGAATGAAGGCAAGAAAAAATTAGGCACACATTACATGAAGGACTTTATTTTAAATTCAATTTTTGAATTTTCTTAAGTGATTCTTTTTTTTGTTTCAGGTTTGAAGTTGTTGATATTTGTTTCTTACCTTGCGCTTCTGGTGGGTGTATGTGTTCTTCCGTTGTTCATTGACTCACCTTGCATACAGCCAGCAGGCCGCCTACCCCGAAAACCACAAATGTTTGCCCACCGAGGGGCGTCAGGGGTAAGTATCTATCTTTACTGATTGTTTATAACAAGTGACATCATGTCTCTGCAACCATTTCTGACTACGCCCTGTTCAGACCTCCTACACACACGCACACACACACGCACACACACACACATACACACACGCACGATCGCACACACACACACACACACACACACACACACACACACACACACACACACACATATCCAGAAAGAGGCTTATGCATGAGCGTCTTTTTTAAATTTTGGATTTGATGTAATTATGGCTACAAAACATTTTGCTTTCATTGCTTGCCTTGATAAAGTCAGAAGATGAAACGTGTCGGTAAGAATTAAGAATTTATTCCTGTTGTCATTTTTAAGCCAATATATATATATATATATATATATATATATATATAGTTAAATTTCCCAGAAATAATTCTGAAAATAAAGACAAATTCAGGATACACTTATATTACATATCAACGGATTTGCTCTCTCTCTCTCTCTCTCTCTATATATATATATATATATATATATATATTTAAATTTCCCAGAAATAATTCTGAAAATAAAGAAAAATTCAGGATACACTTGTATTACATACCAACGGATTTGCTCTTTATATACATACATATATATATATATATATATATATATATATATAGTTAAATTTCCCAGAAATAATTCTGAAAATAAAGGCAAATTGGGTTAAAAATGATTTTTAACACAATTTGACTTTTTTTTTCGGAATTATTTATATATATATATTTATTTATTTTTATTAAATATAAATAATATATATTTATAAATATATAAATAAATATATTTATTTATATTTTATTTATTTGTATTAAATAAATTTTTTTTTAAATACAATTTTACTTATTTTTAAATATAAATTATTTAAATATGACTTATTTTAAATTTATTTTTTAATTATATCTTATTCTTAAATTTAACTTGTTTTTGGAAAATTATTTTTTTTTACTTTAGTTTTTAAATACTTTATATTTTTATATATTTAAAAAAATTTTTAAACCCTTTTTTATTCTGCTCTTAGTTTTAAATTAACATTTCATTCTTCATATAACCCCAATTTAATGTCATAAGATTAATATCCAGGATTAATTTTATAAAATAAGACAAATATGTTCTACTCTTCCCTGACCATTGTCTCATGCCTTTCATTTGACTGAAACATTGAAATTAATAAATTCTGTATATAAATTCTCTATAATTTTTTTGACAATTTTTTTTTTAACTTTCTCAGTTAAAGTTCTGTTTCTGACATGAACTCAGTCTATATCAGGGTTGAATAAGATTGACGGATTTTATTTTTTCCTCATTTAAAATAACCTTATTCCCCATATGAGGTGATTTTGGATTTTATTGGGTATTAATTTTTGCTCTCTAATAATACATTGAGCTCTTTTTGTGGATCAATTTTAATATTTTATATTACTAGGATCCACTTTGATTACATACCAACAGATTTGTTACCTTTACTATATATATATATATATATATATATATATATTTTTATATATATATATATTTTAAAAGATGACGTTGAAAATTTTTACCTAACAATTTTTTTTTTTTTTTTTTTTTGAATTCAGACGACATCCATTCAACTGACGTCAGGTTTCAGTGAAAAATACATCCTCACCCCTTACCAAAATGTAGCTAATAATGATACAATGATACTGTCATAAGGAAAATCTAGACACCCCGTGTTCAATTTGAGTAGAATATTTCTGTAACCATGGAAACGTGATTTTAGCTGTGTATTTAAAACCCGGTAATTTTAAAAGTTACTCCAAAATTCGCTTGAAGATGAAATAGAACTAATGCTTTTAATTTATTTGCAAAAATAAAATTAGGGGTTTTAGCTTCTATTTTTGAAACATGGTTGGAACTGTGTAGCGAAAATAAACCAAAACTTAAATGAAATATTATAATAGGTTTATATATAAAAAGAAAAGTTTATATGAATCAGTGAAATTAAGTAACCATTTCAAGATTGTCATAGTCATTACAAAAAAAAAAAAAAAATGTAAATCCTAGCATAATATTTAAACTTAATGTTAAAATAATTAATATTTTCTAATACATTTAACTGTTATAAAAAAGAATATAGTAAAATAAAAATTAAAAAAGGAAAAATATTTCAAATCGTAGTTAAATAAAAGTATTGTAAAAAAAAATCTTTAATTTTAAAAGATGACGTTGAAAATTTTTACCGTTAACAATTTTTTTTTTTTTTTTTTTTTTTTTTTGAATTCAGACGACATCCATTCAACTGACGTCACCATTGTAAAATACATCCTCAATTTACTAAAACTTAATGATTTCATAAGGAAAATTAGACACCCTGTGTTCAATTTAGTAGAATATTCTATAATATATATATTTTAGCTGTGTATTAAAAACCCGGTAATTAGATGAAGATGAAATTTGTGTTTTAATTTATTTTAAAATAAAATTAGGGTTTTTAAGTATTTTTGAAACATGGTTGGAACTGTGTAGCGAAAATATATATATTTTTAAATCAATTAATTTATAATATATAATTTATATGTTTGAACCTAGGTAGGATCTCTAGGTCAATATAGTTAGATTTTTCTCTTTAGCGTATTACTTTGCTTAGTTATTTTTATTTTACTCAGTTATATTATTGGAGGTTTTTTTTTTTTTTGGACTCTGAGCTTGGATTTTCGATTGTTTTCGTCTGAATTTTAATAAGTTCTTAATTTTTTATTATTTTTCCTTGGGTATTTTTGTTCATTTACAAGCCAAAACATAAGGTTTTCTGGATAATTACTTATATTTATAAGATTATATATATATATATATATATAATTGGTTGGATAGATTGAGTTTGTGACCCTGGGAAAACGCTTTACCGATGTCAGACAAACTGATTAATGTTTTAAAAATTTGTGTTTATGTAGATTGCATGTATTGGTGTTACCCAGGAAGTGTTTGGGGAAACTAAAATTCGCTTTTGTCATTCATCGTACTAACGCAAACATTAATGTATGCAGACACATATAAATACTTGGTCGTTGTCGGGACTCATACATATATAAACATATACAGTATATATATATATATAAATAATTATACATATATATATTTATTTATATTTATATATTATATATATATATATATATATATATATATATATATATATATATATATATATAAATTAATACAAGTAAAAGATTTGTCATTTAGCTGATTGATGTTATATTTCATGATTCCAACTCCAGAGTTTCATAAAGGAATCACTCTTTCCACTCGTCAGTGGATATCGGCAATAGACTGCTTATATTTCACAGTTTCTTCTTTTTGATACGCACTTATCTTTGGTGCAAATTTCTTTTTTTTTTCAAAGTGTATGTATGCATGTGTGCATTTGTACACAAGTGCCTGTCTGCATAAATGTGCATACATGTAGAATGTCATGATCATTTGTCCTTATGCATATATATATATATATATATATATATATGCATATATTCTGCATAACATCATTTTAAACTCATTGGTGGTTCATTGTAATATACCTGAACACATTTGAATAATTGCCAGTCTGATCAAGAGAGGAAAGAAAGTACATTGAAAGTGCACTGATCTCATAATTCTCAATGATAAACTTAAGACCAGGGCCATATATAATATTACGGATCATTGCCAAAGGAATAATTGCACGATGTGGTATAGAAGCCCAAAAAAAAAGATCAATTCCGAACATATTTGATGGGCTTGAGCAAATGGATGGCAGAACAGGGTTTGAGAGAAATAACAAGAAGACGAAACTTGCAAGGGATAGGAAGATAGTGCTGAAGGGATATGGCACATAAAAGAAGAAGAATTATGTCTACCAGCTTGTGCATTTGAGAGTCTTAATAAAGAGAATATGATCTCCAGCTTGGTTTGTACTAACTTCCACCTTTGTAGGCAAAACCACCATCTGATCTACATCGGTGGATGAAATAAAGTGTTCGGTTTGAAATTTCAAAGTATATCACCTGAAGAAGGCTGGAGCATACAATGGTCAAAAAATGTTATGAATATGATAATAAAGATGAGGACAACAGTCTGAACAATGTAAATAGTGTAAATAAGTAAGAATGGTTTCAACCAAACATCCAAATGTAGAGGGTCTGTCTGATTTAAAAATCATCCTTCTTACTCCTAGCTTTTACCTGGTTTCGGTATTTACTAACTTTTGGGTTCTATGGCCTCTGTGCCACACCCATAAATCTGTAACCAGCACAGAACTGGAAGAATGATTCCCCAGACTACACTCTATGTAGCCAGTATTTCAGTGGGCAATTAGCAAGATCTGAATGTCTAATTACATTCCAGTGGATGAAAGCACTGGTTGAAGTAATCTAATGACTTCACCCAAAGAGTTATGAGTTCAATACCTGGCCACAGCACAAATGAACAAAAACTTAGAGAGTTGAGTTACTAAAGAGAGAGAACTGAAACTGAAATATATAGAAAATGCATGGCATGTAGAACTAGAACAATCTAATGGTCCCACCTGTGGACGAAATAAAGGGTTCAGTTCAAAATTTCAAAATATATCACCTGACGAAGGCTGGGGAGGATACAACGGTCGAAAGTTTGTGAATATGACAATAAAGATGAGGACAACAGTCGGAACAATGTAAATAGTGTAAATAAGTAAGAATGGTTTCAACCAAATATCCAAGTGTAGAGGGTCTGTCTGATTTAAAAATCATCCTTCTTAATCCTAGCTTTTACCTGGTCTCAATAGTTTCGGGTTCTATGACCTCTGTGACACACCCATAAATCTGTAATCAATGAATATGACAATAAAGATGAGGAAAACAGTTTCAACAATGTGAACAGTATAAATAGTTCTGTAGTTTATATTAATTTTCATTGTTTTCTCATACACAGATTGCACCCGAAAACACGTTAATTGCATTCCAAATAGCAGCGAATCAAAGTGTTTACGGATTTGAATCTGATGTTAGAATCAGGTAAGTGTTTTTTTTCTCGTTATACTTTTCACCTGGAGAGGTGTAATGTATTTGGTCTCATGATTAAATTCTGCCCTTACTTTATCAATTGCATTCTCTGTTCTTTTTTGATTTTTGCAAAATTTTGTTTGATTTGATTTCATTTTGCTTTCTCGGCAGTTTCGATGGCATTCCATTCATTATGCATGATGAGTTACTGAGAAGAACAACAAACGTTGATAAAATTTTCCCAAGTCGAATCTACGATGATGCCTCTACCTTCACATTTAAGGAACTGTCTCAGTTGAATGCTGGATCTTGGTTTTTAGAAGTAAGTACTCATCATTCTTAAATGAGAGGCAGGAATAATAGAATATATATATATTGTCATTCACAGACAGATTGTTTTTTCTGTATCACAGTTCATCAATGTGGCTAGATGTCCGGTTGCCTCTAGCTAGGATTGAAACCCGACTGAATTGGCATCAGTCAGGGATTCTACCATTAAGCCATTGGCACATGCCAGGGATGAAGGGGAAGCTAAGTGTATTTATTTTTAGAAAAACACACAGTGACTGAGAGAACTCGATTCAATTTACCAAAGAGTCTTGCATTATTAACCGTAATAGTCACTGTTTACAAACCCACATTTCCTACCCAGAGAGCTCAACCAAAATAAATTTTTCATCCACATTTGTGGCTGCTCTCTTCTCTTTAAAAAATATATATTTGTGGCTTATCTCTTCTCTTTAAATATATATATATATATATATATATATATTAATGCATGTTTCATTAAATAATATAGACTAGTTTTGTCTATTTATTTTAAGTTCCTTTCATAAGTAAGTTCCTTTTGTCTATGTTATTTCATGAAACATGAATCAATGAAAATAGCTGCCTAAATATATATATATATTTTTTAAAGAGAAGAAGCCACAAACGTTTTTTGGTTACAATAAATTAAAAAACATTTGTGGATTCTCTTCTGTTTTAGAATATAAACTTTTCTCTCATTGGAATGACTATAACCACTATATATATATATATATATATATATATATATATATATATATATATATATATATATATATATTATTCTAATACCTATACTCTGATGGTGTGAAAAAAATGTGATAATACAATTTGTAAATAAAAATAAAGAGTAAAGACATTTGTGTTGAATGAAAATAATCGATCAGCACATCAATGCTTAGTCAAAAGAAAAAACACTCAAAGAATAAATTAAGTAAAAATGTAAAAGTACTCAAAACCCTAAGTAGAGCAAAGCTAAAAAAACTATTGAGCCAGGATCTACCTATGATGGTTTCACCTAAACGAATCCGTTTAGGTGAAAACTTGGTAGGTAGGTTCTGACTCACTAGGTTGTATATATATATATATATATATATATATATATTAACTGATTTAAAATATGGTTTTTCGCTACACAGTAATAACCATGTTTCAAAAATGGAAGCTAAAAGCTTCGACTTTAATTTTGTAATTAAATTAAAAACATTAGTTCCCTTTCATCCTCCTGGAGGATAAAATGGAACTAATGTTTTTAATTTAATTACAAAATTAAATTTAAAGTTTTTAGCTTCCATTTTTGAAACATGGTTATTACTGTTTAGCAAAAAAAAAACATATTTTAAATCAGTTAATTTATAATATTAATGCTCTGTAAATTTACAGTTAATTTATAATATTAATGCTCTGTAAATTTACATTGAGCACTATTTTGTAAAAAATGAAAATATCAGTAAGAACACTGGATTGTATATCTTACTGTTCTTTCTTTTTTTTTATATATATATATATATATATATATATATATATATATATATATTACATAAAAATGAAACACAATTGTGCCCAATTTTTATGGCCATTTCACTCCTCAGGATAAATTAGGTAAAATATATATATATATATATATATATATATATATATATATATATATATATATAGGGTGACTTATAAATCCTTTGCAACAAATAAACATATCTAGTATGGTACAAAACAATTTTTGTTTAACAGCTGAAAATTCTGGCTTCTTGAAATATGCTTTAAACAAATTAAATGTATTTCTTATTACTTGAGTGCATAGGTAGAGACGAATCGTATTTACATTTGAATCCATAGGTAGATATGGATTATGTTTAAAGTATTCTATTCATTATGCTCGTCAAGTTACTGAAAGCAACAAATGTTGATAAAAATTTTCTCAAGTCAAATAAAAATACATTTTTATAGTAAAAATACCAGCAATGTATTTTTAGATAAAAGAAATGACCAACAATCCAATTTATCTGTAGTTGAAGCCATAAGGCTGTGTTTAAAATATTTAGACTTTGGTATTAAATAACCCATAGAGGTGTTGATATGCCACTAAACAAAATCAACCAACCAAACATCAGGAAATTTAAATGAGGCCCCTTGAAAGGGATCCTGTTGAATTTAAAAGACCCTCTCCAAATCAACACATCTCCCTGTTCTGATGTCTTTGTTTTTTTTAGCTTTATCAGATGACATATCTACGTTCACATTTAACGAACTGTCTGAGTTGAATCTTAGATTTTGGTTTTTAGAAGGTACTCATCATTCTTAAATGAAAGGCAGGAATGATGGACATAAAATAACTTCTCCCTTAACAATGAGCTTATTTAAAGATAAGATCATTGGGGGGGGGGTCCTGGCTGTTAAGGGAGCAGTAGCTGTATATTGCAAATACTAATTAATTGGAGCATCTCCTACATGTGTTAAAATCTCACACTCAGCACTCATATACAGCAAAATGTAACAGCAAAATTTTCCAAATCGTGTAACAGCAAAATTGTCCAAATCGTGTAACAGCAAAATTGTCCAAATAGTGTAACAGCAAAATTGTCCAATTGTTAGATTAAGCTTTGAACCATTGTATCTTAGAAATGATTAAAGATATCTTACTGGAATTCTCTGAGGTTTTTATCACACTATTGGACTCTACTTTGAACAATAAGAATATCCCTCTTCCTATTGTGACCTACTGATCCAGTTTTCCTCTCAACTGTTCCCTCTTTTTTAAAACTTATTCACCATTCCCTTGATGGTTCTTGAATGGACTTTGAAAATGGAAGCCACAGTATGAATGTTGGTACCATTACTAAAGTCCAGAATGATCTTTTTCATCTCACCATAGCTCAGTCGTGAAGACATAGTGGGGCTGACACAAAATGATTTTAACCTGTTCTCTTTCTAGTTGAATAACTCAAAGGGTTTTTTCAGTGATTCTTACGACAAATGGCGTCAAGATGGCTAAACTTCTTATCTGAAAACCTGAAAAAAAGAAACTCAATTAGTTTAGTGTTTTTTTTTTAGATATTAAACATTTTGTGGGATTGACGATTATCCGATGCTGTTACACAATTTGGACAAATTTGTTGTTACACCGTGTATTGCACTGTAGAATTATGGCTACATTACTGTTGCATCATAGCTTGTTAAAATCTGTTTTTTAGAAGTAGTCATCATCCTTAAAAAGAAAGGCAGGGAGGATGTATATAGGGTGAGTTATAAACCCTTTGCAGCAAATAAACATATCGCATTCACATTCCTGAAGTGTCTGGTGAGTCTATAATTTTTATAGTTATGGTTATGTGGCAAGTTTTTGTGATGTGTGGGAAAACAAATAATAATCATGGTTGGGTTTTAATGTCGAGTGTATTGGAATCGCAGGCTATGTAGGCAAAGCTTCAGCTTTTCTCATCACTGCCCACACCATTTATATTGCATCTTTCTCTGAACGATAAATATATGGCAACAAAGTGAGGGATCAGTTTATGAACTGATTGTAATAAAAAAACTGATCCGTCACTTTATATCCACCATGCCTTCTTGCTTGATTATCAAATACTGATTATCTACACAAGCTTGTTTTACAGATATACTTTAATTCTCTCTGGACTATAGGAATGTTAATAATCTATTGTGGCCACAAAATGGGGGATGATTTTATAAGTAAATTGTAATATAGAATTGACCCCCACTTTATATTCATCTGATATTTTCTTTGTTAATCAAATTTTGATTACTGACAACAAGCATATTTTACAGACTAATTTTAATTATCTCTTAAAAAATAGATGTGTTAAGAATCTACCGTGGCCACAAATTGGGGGGATCAGTTTCTTAACAGTGTAATAGAGAATTGATCCCCCACTTGATATCCATCTGACATTTTCTTTGTTAATCTAATATTGATCACCGACAACAAAACATATTTTACAGGTTTACTCTCATTCTGGACAATAGATATATTGAGAATCTGCCACAAAATCGGGGATCAGTTTCTTAAATGAATGTAAGAGAATTGATCCCTCACTTGATACACATCTGAAATTTTCTTTGTTAATCAAATATTGATCACCAACAACAAAATATATTTTACAGCTTTACTTTCATTCTCTCTGGACAATAGATATATCGAGAATCTACCGTGGCCAAAAAATGGGGGATCAGTTTCCTAACAGTGTAATAGCGAATTGATCCCCCACTTTATGTACACACCACACTTTCTTGTTTATTGATAACCTACTCATTTGTGTTTTTTGGACTTATTTTCATTCTCTCTGAACAATAGAAATTTATAGAAACTACTGAGGTACACCTTAAAACAGCGAGAGAGTGTGATTTGAAAACAGTAGATAAAAAGGAGAACAACTTTATTTAAAGCTGGGCGGAAAGGGAAAAGAAATTGATAGTTGTAATTTATTCATTTTGGAAATCTGGGAAGTGATTTAACAGAGGATAGAAAAAGTGATACTGAAATTTGAACACGCTTTGGATTAGCAAAAGATGCCTTCCAAAAGCTAAGCAAAGTATTAAGAAAGAGGAAAATTTTGTTAGAAACAAACAAAAGAGTGCTGAACTGCTGTGTGATATCAATTCTCTGGTATAGTTGCGAATGCTGAACAATCTTCCCACAGATGAAGAGAAAACAAGAGGCAGTAAAAATGTGGTTCTACGGAAGGATGATGAGAACTCCATGAACAAATAAAGAAGACTTAAGGAAAATGGTAACAAACAGAATGGTTATACTCAGAATTGGAAACAGACAGCTGGAGTTTCTTGGACACAAAATGAAGAAGGAAGGCTTGGAGAATTTAGAACTCACAGGGCATAGAGAGATAGGGGAAGCTTATGTGGATGGATGGTAAAAAGGTGAGCAGGAGGCTTGGCAAAGAGAGAAACACTTCTAAAGGCCACATGGAATAGACTGGGGAAGGCCATGATCATGCATGTCTTAAAGAGAAAAATAATTTGGGATATACCCAATAAGTATTCATCACTCAGGACAAGCAAGGCCAGATTTAGACCTTAAGAAGCCCCTTGGCTAATAGAGTTTGCAGGGCCCCTTCATTACATACGTCCCCTCCCCACACCATGTCTATAAAAAAATTATGTATTTTTAAATTTATTTATTTCATTAGCAACTTAGTCCTGGGCATGACTACATCCGGCAACAAGGCCTCTGATTAGGAGATTGGAGATTGTGTGGATTGAGGAACGACCTCTTAATTGCTGTTGTTCCCAGGTTCACCCTGACCTGGAGTAGTAGCACCTGTTAGGGTTCCAGCTATGGGCAAATAGTGAACTCACTAACAAAAACAAAAGTCTATGAAAGTACAAGAATACATTTTTATAGTAATGTTATAGCATAATACCTATTCTATTGTAATAGAGTCTCCCACAGATAATAAGTAGTAGTAGCAGTCGCGAGTTGGGCTCAGTGGTGTTGAATGAGTCAGTCAATGTCGGACATTGAAGTATCAACCATCACAACTAGATTGCTGCGTCATTAACTCTTATTTCAAGTTCCTAACGTTTTGTACGTCGAACCTAATTTAAGACGACTTATTGAAATACAAGCCTCCACTATGAAAACTACTCTACAACAAGTAAAAATACCAGCAACACATCTTATATAAAAAATTACCAACAATACCAATTTATAGTAGAATTACCAACAATACATTTTATAGCAAAATGACCAACAATCCAATTTATCTGTAGTTGAAGCTGTAAGACTGTGTTTAAAATATTTACATTTTGATATTAAATAACCCATAAAGGTTGATATGCCACTAAACAAAATCCCAACCAATCATTAGCAAGTTCAAGAAATTTAAATGAGGCCCCTTAAAGGGGTCCTATTGAATTTAAAAGACCCACTCCAAATCAACAAATCTTCTCTGTTTGGTTTGGTTTGGTTTGGTCTGTTTTATGGCATACCAACCTCAATGGGTTATTTAATGCTGACTATATTTTTATTGCTGGTAATTTTTTTTTCTTCAAAATGTATTACTGGTAATAATGTATTGCTGGTAATAATTATTTACAAAAAATGTATTGCTGGTAATAATTATTTACAAAAATGTATTGCTGGTAATAATTTTTCCTCAAAAAATGTATTGCTGGTATTAAAACCTATTTTTACACTTTCATAGTGTTTTAACCTCAGTTTGGGGGTTAACTATTTGCCCATAATTGGGACCCTAGCAGGTGCTCCTGGTTTGAGGGTCATACTAGCCCATATTTAAATCTGGCACTGGGGGCCAGGGGCTATTTATAGTCGGTGAGTTATATATTGAAAGGAGTAGAATTTTGTTATTTATGTTGGAGTTTTTTAGATGAGGGATTGTCTTTTTTTATAAGTCTTCCCATTCAGACTATTAATCTTGGTTGTTATATTCAGGTTTCGGCCATTGTACCTTCTGCCCTTCTTCAGGTATCAATTGTTAGTAAAGGAAACCACAATCTGATCCTGCATGCTTTAGACTGCATAACCAAAGAGAGAGCATCACATCCCAGCAAGACTCAGTTCTCCACTGACGAATGCACATTCTAGCAGATGTTGGCTTTCAAGAAGACCTGAACAATAGGATGTGCATTCTTGTTCTTCACATGTTCAGTCCATGAGCTTTTTAGCATTCTTCTGAAAAACCAGATATCTGTTGCCTCAAAAATCTTCTTCATCTGTGAGGAAATTCTCCAGCAATTATATGTTAGTTTGTCTTTTATGCATAACTTGCTAAATGTGTATGGGAGGGGGGCACAGTGGAGTAATGGATAGCGACTCAGATTGAAGAATCAGAGAGCCAAATTTGAATTCCATTCCAGTTCATTACATTTACTTATGTGCAAATAGTAGGGCAATCTAGTCTCTGTAGCCTTGGGTGGCCACCAGTCTAGGAGATGAACAACTTTGAATTCAAAACCTACAACTAGGAGTTAAATAGTAGGGCAGTCTAGGCTTTGCAGCCTTGGTTGGTAACCAGTTTAGGAGAAGGACAATACTGAATACAAAGCCTCTAGCTATGAGTTAAATAGTAAGACAATCTAGGCTTTGTAGCCTTGCATGGCAATCAGTCTAAGAGAAGGACAATACTGAATTCAAAGCCTCTAGCTATGAGTTAAATAGTAGGGCAGTCTAGGCTTTGTAGCCTTGGTTGGTAACTGGTCTAGAAGGAGGACAACACTAAATTCAAAACCCCAAACTATGAGTTAAATAGTAGGGAAGTCTAGGCTTTGTAGCCTTGGTTGGTAACTGGTCTAGGAGAAGGACAACACTGAATTCAAAACTGTATGTAACCCTGACAAAGCACATACTATGCTAAAGAAAGAATTATATAGTTCACATTAACTGTATTATTCTGACTACTGTTGACTAAGTAAGTATTAATGTGTTCAAATCCATGTTTGCCGTAGTAACATTTATTCTTTTCTTGTTTTTTATTTTCCAGGATGATCCAATGAACGTTGCAAGTTCATTGACAGATTTTGCAAGATCTCTCTACCAGAACCAGACGATTATGAAACTCAGTGACTTAATTCAGTTGGCAATCTTTTACAACAAATATTTGATGGTCGATGTTCGTCCACCCATCAGGGAACATCCATATTATAAACGATGCCTCAATCGCACAATTGAAGTTATACTCAATTCAGGGATACCACATGAAAAAGTATTTACGATTTTTTTTTACTTGTTGCTTTATAATTTTTATTATTTGTGATTAATGAGTTTTTTCTTTTTGCAAACTTGGGCCTTTGCGCCCACAAAACAAATGGAGTGTCAAAAAGATGTTTTTTCCTTTGATATTGCTATGATTTTAACTACCTTCATTTCTTGGCAATGTTTATTGTTTTAAAAAGCAATGATTAAATTGTCATGACTTGTAAAAGAGAAAGGAAATAGAATAAACTCTAACAAGGCAAAGATATTTTTATCTCTCTTATATATGACAAATAAATGATTAACAGGAAATAAAATATGTGGGGGTTGATGATTATTAGTTTACACTTGTGTGTAATATGATTTGGGATTTAATGTGGCTTTTGGTGTTTTGTGGGTTTACAGGTGTTTATTTTTGGGTAACGTCCTTAATCGAAATATAAACCAATTTTTGGACTATTAAAAATGAATGAAAAAATAATTAGTAAGAAAGATTATATTTGACTCTCATCTTTTATCCTTGGGATCTTACATTTTTGTGAAACTATTTTGAGAAGACATAAAGGCCCACCAGTAACAGTTTATCCAGATTTAGCCCTATAACACCTACTAGTTACCTCCTCCTTTGTATTCTAATTGATAATGCAGTATTATCTACTTTGCAGCCAAGATGGGCATTTCCCAGAGGTCAGTGTTCAAACCCAAGCTAATGCTACATATTTTTTGTTTTGTATTTTTTTTTTAATACTAATTTTCTAAATAGGTATCCCTCTCAACTTTGAGGATTGACATAACACACTCTTCCTTTCTACTAAATTTAGTAAAATATTCAGAGTAGACATGAATGAAAACCGTTTGGACATTTTGAGATGATTTACCTGTTATACTATTAACAAAGACATTATTGCCATTGATTAGAATTTTCAGTGCTAAACCTGATTGGTCTGAAAATTTTGCAGTCATCTAAAGCTTGGGAAACAATGAGTAGAATATGTCTGTGAGGTTAATGATTATTGGTTTACATTTGTGTGGAATATGATTTTGGATTTAATGTGGTCTTTGGTGTTTTGTGAGTTTACAGGTGATTATCTTTGGATAACGTCCTTAATCCAAATATAAACCAATATTTTGGCCTTGTAAAAATGAATGAAAAAATAATTAGAACAAAGATATATTTTGCATGTAAAGATAAAATTTGATATATCTTAAAACCTACAAAATTTAAAGAATTCATATCAGAAGGTTCCTGTGTTGAACATTAACAAGTCCTTTAGCTGATTTATAAGAGAGAGAGAGAGTCTGATGTTAATGTGTATATATGTATATATTCAGCTGACAGTAGTAATCTTGACTTGCTGTTGATTTAAGGATCCAGGTAAAATAAATTATGGGAGAACGAACAGAATTTATTCATCAACTCTATGGTTCCTTTGTCTGATTGTCTCTGTGTTTATAAACTTTTCTGAGACAAAAGAATTCATTTCAGAATTGTCTCTTGTTTTCTGATTGGTTCATTGGTGACTCATTTGACAAACCCTTTTAGTCACCTACATTTAGGAAAGATGACCTTTTGGCCTCTTTTCTTTATTTTTTTTTTTTCTCATCTTTTTGTTTTTATTTCTGTATGGCAAACCATTTTGGTTTGCCAACTTTTAGTTTTTTATTTTCGAAATAGTTAACTTTTTATTTTTCTCTCATTACAAATATACTTTGTAGGCATTCAAAAATAGCATTAAATAAAGAAGACATTAAAATCTACCTATTAGGTATTGTATGTATCTGTATGTGTTTGTGATACACATGCGTGTGTGTGTGTGTGTGTGTGTGTGTGTGTGTGTGTGTGTGTGTGTTTAGGCCTTTGGGAACAGGTTCCACATTGGTGCTGCTATTACTGCTAGTGTTCTGTTTCTTATACAGCATGAAATTTAAAAGAACAAACATTACAAAGCATGAAAACCATACAAAATACAGTATTTTAGTTTTCCGAAGAGGCCAGCACAAAAAATTCCTTTTGTGTGCCTCAGAAAGTCAAGCTATAATAACATATTGTTGGGATGAGCGTATCGTAGCAGAACAAAGAAGAAACAATGAAGGTTTAAAGAAATAAACAAATTTTATTAGCGAAAAATGGTAAATTGGTGTAATGTAAATGTCTCTCGTTAAAAAAAGGAGATAAAAGGAGTTATAAAAGACATATGCAGAGGCGTAAGGAAGGAGAGAGAGGATGAGTTGTGACTTATTGGGGTGTCAGCCTTTGGCGTGCTGTCTTGGAGATGGGAGGTCACTTTCTGACAAAGTCCGTGAACTTGGGTCAAGATGTTATCCAACTGCCAAAGATATCCCTTTGATGGGCTTTTATGTCCTTTTTTTTAGGCTCAAATCAGCTCCAGCTTTTATTTTGTTTCTTTAGGCAGGAGTGGTTGCTATTGGGTGGGAATTCTGGATCGTATTGCTTATTTTTTCTTTGAGTGTGTGAGTAAAAATGGAAGCTATGTGCAGAGCCTATGCACACGTGATGGAATTTTAGTTCAGTCTTGGGTTTCAGAGCATTCATATCAGGCCAGTGGTGAAATTAGTGTAGCATGAATCAGAAGAAGATCTTGTTTTAGGAAGAATTTAATAATATCAAAATATATAGAACTGATTTTAAAAGATTTCAAAACAATCTTTGAAAAATGAAAAACTTTGTGAAGGTAATACAAAATTTGAATAATGCAGAAAATATTGTTAGAAAAAAGTAGGGCACCTACTTAAGAGAAAGAAAAAATTTAAAAAAAGTTTATGGCAAAAAACAAAATTTACACACGTAAACAATGGGTTGCCATTATTTGTATTATGTGACCTTTGAAGGCCTAATTTTGAAGTTAATTTGACTACAGTAAATGGATATATAGTTTGGTCAATAATGTAGCCAGGACCAGGAGTACATATGTTAATTTTATATCTCATGTTTGATGTGACCCTCTTAAAATTAGCTTCAAAATTACGTCATCAAAAGTCACATGATAAATGAATATATATTGTATGTGTTTTATATAAATAGCTGAAAAGAAGGATGACATTAAAAGTTAGTTATTAGGAATTATTTACATCTGTATGTTTGCATATATACATGCGTGTGTGCATGTGTTTTTGTGTTTGTGAAAGAGTTGAGTCACCTAAGAGTGGAAAGATATCTCCACATATACATAGAATTTTGCTGCTACATATGATCCAGTGCCCCTGCTATTTACCTTGAGCTCCTTAATAAAATCTAAAGAAGAATCAGCAATATTATTGGTCCTGATCTGGCATCTCAGCTTCAGTCACTTTCCCACCACTGTAAGGTTGCCTTTTCTATAAATAATTGTTTGGATGAGCTCTTCACTATGTTACCTAGACGATTTGAATTTAAGCACAGTTCTAGGCTGGCATCAAGATCTCATTAGTATGAAAGGATCTGGAAGAGTGGCCATTTAGGCTCCAGAATCTATCTTACATATCTATGTCTACCATTCATCCATACTTAGAATATTGCTGCCACATATGGTCCAGTGCTCCTGCTATATATCCAGAGATCCTTGATATGATCCAAAGAAGAATCAGCAATATTATTGGTTCTGATCTGGCATCTCAGCTTCAATCACTTTCCCATCACTGTAAGGTTGCCTCCCTATGCCTTTTCTATAAATAATTGTTTGGATGAGCTCTTCACTATGGTACTTAGATGATTCGAATTTAAGTACAGTACGAGACTAACATCTCAAGATTGTGTCGATTTAGAGTTGAGCTGGCTAGATGTAACCATAAATTCTATGCTAACAGTTTCTTTTCTTGCACTTCTTGCTTGTGGAACTCTCTTTCTATTCCATGTTTTCCAGCCTACTTTAATCTTCAAAAATTTAAAAGCAATTTCAATCACTATCTACTATCGTCCTGATTACTCTTTTCTCTTCTCAATCATTATTAATGTTTCTGTTCCTAATTCTTCTACACTCTGTAACCAATTGTATCTTAGTGGCTCTATTACCTTGCTTGGAGTGATACCAATTAAAAAATAATTATATATATATATATATATATATATATATATATATATATATATATATATATATATATATATATGTATATATATATATAAAAAAAAAAAAAGATAAGATATATAATCCGGTGTTCTTATAGATATTTTATTTTTACAAAATAGTGCTCAATGTAAATTTACAGAGCATTAATATTATAAATTAATTGATTTAAAATATGTTTTTTTTTTGCTACACAGTTCTAACCATGTTTCAAAAGTGGAAGCTGAAAGTCTCAATTTAATTTTGTAATTAACTTAAAGACATTAGTTCCATTTCATCCTCAATGATTACAAAATTAAATTGAGCTTTCAGCTTTTTGAAAACATAAAGTGTGTAGCAAAAACTATATTTTAAATCAATTAATTTATAATATATATATATATAAATATATATATAGATACATATATATATATATATATATATATATATATATATATATATATATATATATATATATATTATAAATTAATTGATTTAAAATATGTTTTTTTTCGCTACACAGTTCCAACCATGTTTCAAAAATAGAAGCTAAAACCCTGAATTTAATTTTGCAATTAAATTAAAAGCATTAGTTCCATTTCATCTTCAAGCGAATCTTGGAGTAACTTTTAAAATTACCGGGTTTTAAAGACACAGCTAAAATCACGTTTCCATGGTTACAGAATATTCTACTTAAATTGAACAAGGGATGTCTAGATTTTCCTTATGTCAGTATCATTGTATCAGTTATTAGCTACAATTTGGTAAGGGGTAGGGATGTATTTTACAATGAAACCTGACATCAGTTGAATGGATGTCGTCTGAATTTTTTTTTTTTAAAAAAAAAAAAAAAAAAAATTGTTAACGGTAAAAAAATTTCAACGTCATTTTTTAAAATTAAAGATTTTCAGGTTTTTTTTTTTTTTTTCTAATACTTTTTATTTAACTACGATTTGAAATATTCTCCTTTTTAATTTTTATTTTACTATATTCTTTTTAAGAACAGTTAAATGTATTAGAATCCATTATATTATGTAGGATTATTTTAACATCAAGTTTAAATATGTATATGAGGTTACATTTTTTTTTTTTTTTTGAAATTTATGACTATGACGGCAAAAATGGTTACTTAATTTCACTGATTCAGTAAACTTTTATTTTATATATAAACCTAGTATTATAATATTTCTCATGTAAGTACTAAGGACATGGTTTTTTTTTTTTTAAATTTATGTGTGTGTGTGTGTGTGTGTGCGCGCAAAAATATATAGAAAATAGGAAAGAACTCGTTAGGTAAATAATCCAAAGTTCTTTAGTATTTTTGTTATTTTTTTGAAAAATAGTGCTCGATACAAAAGTAGAGCATAAATATAATTATTTATTTAAAAATATGATTCCAACGCTATATAAGAGTTAAATATAAGACACCCCAACCTTACCCTGACTTGACGTCTTTGAATGTAACTGAGATATTGATACAAATTATTAACCCTTACACCCCTTTTTTTTTTAAAATTGCTCTAGCCGTTACCATAGTAATTTTAATAATGAATATGCTTATAAAACGTGTAACTTTCAGGAATTAGTTATTCCAAAAAAAATTTCGCCTGAAGATGGAACAGAGCTTGGTACTTTAATTCAATTTAATTCAAATAATTATATTGAAGTTCTCGGTTCTTGTTTTGAAACATGAGAACTCTTATGTACCGTTGGAATCATATTTTAAAATAAATAATTATATATATATATATATATATATATATATATATATATATATATATATATACTGGGAACAAATCCTATGCTGGTTTTTTCTCACAACTGCATGCTGAAAAGGAAAATGGAAAAAAAGTAAGAAACAAGAAGTTTTGTGTTTTTATAGTTTTTTAATTACCTGCACCCCTAACGGCATCTTGGCGAATATGGCAAAGACAAGTCAGGGTAACCCATAATACATATCTATCAATGAAATGTTGGAAATAAATTATTATATTTTAAGAAATTATCTATGACTTAAATGCCAATTGAAAACAATCCTTACTTCTGCATTTTTATCATAAAATCATTTCACGCTTCTTTTTTTAATTCAGATATGGTGGCTACCAAGTAGTAACAGTGACTATGTGAAAACTTTGAATTTCACACAGACAGAAATAAAGTATGAACCAGTGGATCACCTCTACAAGCACAACATCTTCCATATCAATGCACCTTACACAGAACTCACAGAGCAGGAAATTCAGTGAGTTTTTCATTGTTTCTTTCTGACTATAACTTTCTCATTTAAGATGTTCAAATTTTTCACTAGTATTTCTTTCATCTTATTTCTCTTGCTTTTCCACCAAGTAGTAATAGTCTTAAGTTGTCTGAATTTCTTAGATGAAGCCTTGGCAATTATTATTCATTTTTCACTAGTATTTCTTTCATCTTGTTTCTCTTGCTTTTCCACCAAGTAGTAATAGTCTTAAGTTGTCTGAATTTCTTTGATAAAGCCTTGGCAATTATTATTCATTTTTCACTAGTATTTCTTTCATCTTATTTCTCTTGCTTTTCCACCAAGTAGTAATAGTCTTAAGTTGTCTGAATTTCTTAGATAAAGCCTTGGCAATTATTATTCATTTTTCACTAGTATTTCTTTCATCTTATTTCTCTTGCTTTTCTACCAAGTAATAATAGTCTTAAGTTGTCTGAATTTCTTAGATGAAGCCTTGTCAATTATTATTCATTTTTCACTAGTATTTCTTTCATCTTATTTCTCTTGCTTTTCTACCAAGTAGTAATAGTCTTTTTATTATAAATTTCATTTTATAAATAATGCTAAGACACACAAGGAAGATTAAATCTACCCCAAGCATCCCAAATTTGTAATAAAATTCAGCAAAATAAAATGAAGGAAATAATAGTGAAATATTTCTAATAATGACAATGCCAAATCTAAGTCAGTTGAATATTGCATCAACTGGAGTTATTTGCATTTTTCTTTGATTTTTTGCAGGGAATACAGCTCATCAAATATAACAACAAATATTTATTTAGTGAATTCTCGCTGGTTTTTCTCACTGTATTGGTGTATGGGTGTCCAATCAGTGACCACAGATAACTGCCATATCCTCAGTAAAATGACCAGACCCCTTTGGCATTTTGTAAGTATTTTCATTTTACATTCTTTGAATCATACTCCAGATCCTATATCTATCTACCTATCTATCTATATATATATATATATTATATATAAACTTCTGTGTGCGTATATGTGCATATATATATATATATATATATATATATATATATATATATGTATGTATGTATGTATGTGTACATGTATATATGTATGTATGTACGTGTGTGCCTGTATATGTATGTATGTGTGTGTGTATGTATATATGTGAGTATATATCTATATATATCTATATATGTCCATGTGTTTATGTATATATATATATATATATATATATATATATATAATATATATATATATATATATATATATATATATATATATATATATATATATATATATATATAAAAGGAAGAAGTTATAGTAGTTCCAACGAGAGTAAAGTGTTTATATTAAAAAAAAAGAGAAACTGCAAATGTTTTTGGTTGTTGCCATTTCTCTCTTTTTTTTAAAATATATATGTGTGTATGTGTGCGTGTGTGTATGTGTGTGCATGTATGTGCATATATATATATATATATATATATATATATATATATATATATATATACAAGGTGCAATGGGTATATTGTTGCCATTTTATATTTTTAATTTCTCGTATATCTGTTGTTTTGTTTTTGATGTTGTCAGTTGCACTGTATACTAAAATCAGTTGGACACTGTGAGAAAAGATCGCCATGATGCAATTCATTCTCTTGAGAAATGGCATGTTGTTCTGCTTGGCATTCTTGCTGGAAGCTCCAATACGAACATTTCAATGTGTTTCAGTGTCAATCTGAGAACAGTGCAGAGGAGTTGGGAAGAGTTGAATGAGTCTAATGATAATTACAAAGTTATGGCAGCTTGGAAAACTCACTCTGATCATTCTGATAAGAAAAGAACACCCAAATTTGTTAGTGAGGGCCTCAGACTTAACACGGAGGCCTACATCAGGTGCTTTGAAGAGGTAGTGCTTACTTTAGCTCAAGAGGGTGCCTGCTGGAAGACCCTATGTCTGGCAACAGGACTCTGCATCATGCCACACAAGCAGGAGAACCCTGTTATGGCTGTCAGACAATTTCTACAAACATATCACCCCTGGCCACCAGATTGCAGCCCACTAGATTATTATGTGTGGGTAACAGCTAAGTGAGAGACCAACAAAACTCTTTGTAACACCAAAGATGAAATGAAGGCAAGAATTATGGCAGCATTCACCAACTTAAATAAGGAGACTGTCCAGAAGAGTTGCAGAAGATTCCAAAGTTGGGGTGAATTCCAGGTTGAGTATTTTTGAAACATCAATAATAAAAAATTTAAACTAAGTTACCTCCCTTGCATATTCCTAAGATAAATTGACGATAACAAATTGTGTTTCATGCATATTTATAAAAAAAATTAACATCTATCATTTACATTAATTTTTTGTATCAGAGATTCATCCCTGAAGATGCTGTTGGATGAGATTGAAAGTACTTGGGAAAATAAAAGAAATAACCAAAACTGAAAACTATGGTATCTTTCTTAATCAATGCTGTAACAGCACTAAGAAATTGATCCATGGATTTGAAAGGATTAAAATAAAAATAAATAATAATATATCTAGATTATTCAACCAAACATGGTTGAACATATATATGTATATATATATATATATATATATATATAGTGATCCACAGACAGACTGTTTCACTGTATCACAGCTCATCAGTTTGACTAGACATTTAATCACTTCAGGCCTAGACCAGAACTTGACCGCATTTGTATCAGTCGAAAATTCTAACCCTTAGGCCATCAACACCTGGCAGAGAGAAAGGCGAATTTTTGTGTATTTATTTTTCATAAGCACACAGGTCACTTAGAGAACTCAATCAGCTTGGAGAGTCTTGCATTATCAGCAGTAATAGTGACTGTTTACAAATTCATTTTTTACTCCCTACAGTGCTCGATTGATTAAATTATTTTATCAAGAGCTATCGTCATCATCCATAGACAGACTGTTTTGCTGTATCAGAACTCATCAGCGTGGCTAGACATCCAATTGCTTCAGGCTGATATATATAAAGACAAGAAGAAAAGTTTTCTTTACCGACACATTTCAAGCTCTGATAGAGTTTATATCAGATCAGTACAGAAAAGTTTTTCTTTTGGCTGTATTCATATTTTTTTTTTGTATCTTGTATTTTATTTATATCTGAATTTTTACATGCATACACACACGTGCATACGCACCACATACATACGTGCACACACACACGCACACACACACACACATTACTTCAAAAATTGTTATATTAAATATCCTGTATTTGAAATAAATGTCCCATTTTTCATTTATTACACCTGTGTTTATTATGTTTATTGATCTGCCTATTCAAGAAATCTTAGTAAAGAAAGATGTGTTCCATGGCATGGATTGAATTTGCATCCTCCTTTGTAGGGGAAAACCATCTTTTGATCCACTCGGAAGTCAGCAAGGCTCTTTTTACCTAAATAGGAAAGCTATCTGGATATGAAACTGAGCAGCTATGGGCTTTCAAGCAAAATAATCAGAGGGAAGGGGATATCTTCTCTCTCTTTTATCTGCCGTGTCCCTTCAGGACGTGGGCGATCATGGCTCTCCACAGCTTCCTATCCTTTGTAGCTCTAAGTAATGTTTCCCTCCTTATTATCTTTCCCATTCCTTGTTCTGCCTTCCATTCATATAAGCTCGTTAGGTAAGGTTTCCCTCTGCTTCTCTTGCCCTCATTACATCCTGTGAGTGTTAAATTCTCCAAGTCCTCTTTCCTCATTATGCATCTTAAATATTTTGTCTTTTTCTGATTCTAATAATAAGCATGCATTTTGTTTCTATTTTCTGTAAAAGAATAACAGTCCTTCGTGGCTGAGCAGTAAAGTATGTTGGATCAAATGGTAAAAGTCCATCTTATTGATTTTATTTGGATATAAATGCTTATGCCTTTTTCCTTTCCCAGACTCCAGCAACATACACACTAATTTGGATCTCAGTTGATGTGCTGTCTGTCATTATAATAACAATTATATTTATTGTGCAGAGGTAAGTCACTATTTGATTGATACATTTGACCTACGACTGATTTACATTGACTGTTTCATTAGTACCCAGTTTGCTACTTGTTAGCTCAATCCGGCTACCCACTTAGAAACATCTGTCTATATTTCTGAAATGAAGTATTGTAAGTCTTTACACTATTTACATTGTTTCGACTATTGTCCCTAAGGACACATGGCTCAGTGGATAAGAGCGTTGGTTGAAGTAATCCAGTGAATTGACCCAAAGAGTTGAGAGTTCAATACCTGAACAAAAACTTGGAATGTTGTGTTACTAAAGGGAGATAACTGAAACTGAAATATTCAGAAAAAGCATAGCATGTGGAACTAGAACAATCTACCCCCAGTGGGCAAAATAAAGAGGTTGGTTCAAAATTCCAATGTATATCACTTGAAGAAGGCCGAAGCACAAAATGGTCGAAATGTTGTGAATATGACAACAAAGATGAGGACAACAGTCTGAACAATGTAAATAGTGTAAATAATTACAATACCTCATTTCAGAAATATAGGGATGTCCTGAAGAAGGTCGGAGCACACTACGGTTGAAATGTTGTGAATATGGCAACAAAGATGAGGACAACAGTCTAAACAATGTAAATAGTGTAAATAATTGCAATACCTCATTTCAGAAATATAGGGATGTCCTGAAGAAGGTTGGAGCACAAAATGGTCAAAATGTTGTCAATATGACAACAAAGATGAGGACAACAGTCTGAACAATGCAAATAGTGTAAATAATTACAATACCTCATTTCAGAAATATAGACAGGTCCTGAAGAAGGACGGAGCACACTATGGTCGAAATGTTGTGAATATGACAACAAAGATGAAGAAGAATGTAAATATTCTTAGAAACAATTTTTATTTTCACAGTTAGTTTCATTTCCTCAAATGATTGAAATGTCGTCTACTCTCACAAATGGGGGATCAGTTTATAACTTGTTTATAATAGAATCTGGGCCTGGTAAATGTGATTAATTATTATGAGTATCTATGCAAAAACCTACATAACCAATCTATAGGAGTCAGTGTTCGATAAAGCCACATTTGGAATCAGAATCTTGAAGACATGATTAAAGACTTTGAGAATCTACTTAAAAAGTAAATGTTTAGCCTGAACGACATGACCATTATATAGGAGTCAATGTGTCATTAATTGTTGTTGATTGTTCTTTCAGGATCCGTTTGGTAGGAACTCGATTCAATCCAGAGACCATTTCTCTCCATTCGCAACAGACAATGACGATTCTTACGGAACCGTATCACTCAACCTCGAGAACCATGAAAGAAAAATTATTATTCACTGCTGATCAACTTGAGGAAGACATGTTGGATACTGGCATAGGGGTCTCAAATGACAATATTAACGGCCTCGAGTCCCCAAGTAGTCATTTCAGCAGTCCACAAAGGGACATTGTTATCACTACCAATGACTAAGAGACCCTTTACAAGCTCAAAAAATATATATATATATATATATATATATATATATATATATATATATATATATTTGAATAAAAACTAAAAGGAACAATTTTCTTTACCTGATATGTTTCGTCCTCTGATGGGCTTTATCAAAGCAAATGTGACAATTTTATTTTGCAGCAAGTATTTATAAACAGAAGTAAAAAAGGTCGGTTGTTAATTTTTCAGAATTTTTAAATTTAAGAAGGCTCATGAATATAAATCAAGGTAAACTATGGAGGACGCAAAGTGATGTAATTTAATTTAACTATGGAGGCTGCTAAGTGATGTAATTTAATGTCTAATAAATGAAAGTGAGTAAATGTTGTTGTTGAATTTTTTTTTTCATAACGTAATTATTGTTTTGATTATTTTAGCTTGGCATTCATTTTGTGCATTATATATTTTAAATAATAGAAAGTTTTTTAATTTAACTGTTTTCTTTTAATTTTTCAAAAATCAGCCCGTTCTGATTTCCAGGGACAATTTGAACATAAATTGTCCAATGTCTTCTGAGTGATTTCAGCTTTCATAAGACATTATCAGATAATCAATTATGTGTTGTTTCTTTGGTGCTTTTTAAGTGTTGCATCTGTCAGTGAATGTCATGTCATTTTTCACAAGATTGTGTCTTTTGTAGTGTTTTTTGTGTTTTTATTGTGAAAAATATATTTTTTATATTTGTTACTGAACTGAATTAAATTTTACTGATTTTATGGTCAAGGCTTCAAGTATTTGTAATAGTTTTTTTTTTTGTGGTATAGTATTTTTGAATTATTGCTTGACATTTGTCTGATTTCTTGTGTTTTGTTACTTTATTGAATGGTGGTAAGCAATTTAATTGATAATGTTTCATGAAAGGCCAAAGTTAACAGAAGACATTGAACAATTTATGTTTGAATTTTTTTAACAACTCAGAAAAATTATCCAAATTGTATAAAAATTAAATATTAAATAAAAAATCTTAAATGAAGAGCTTTTGTTGGTTTTCAACAAAACTTACATAAAAAAATTACTACTCAAATACACTCAAATTTTATATATACACCTTTGTGCAAATTAATTGAAAAAAAACAAATAATTCTGTTATTTTTTACATATTTTTATATTTTTCCAATGAAACATGATCCAGTGAACATGTTAGGACTTCATATGCCGATTCCATGAAGCTGTTCCTTGCGGATTGACCACAAATTCTTGATTGGATTTAAATCAGGAGAGTTTCCGAGCCAGCCTAATACTTTGATTTGCACTCTGGTAAAGCTTGCCAGTGTCTTTGTGCAGTGTTGCAAATTTTCCTATGCTTTCTTGGAGTAATGTCCATTGCGGACAATGGCCGTAGGACAACTAATTGACAGTCAAGACAATAGTGTCTGGGTGTGATAAAAATCTGATGCAATCATGGATGATGCAATATTTTTCAAGGCCAAACAAATTTTATCATAAAAAACCGAAAATAGATTCATATTACTGCACACCATTGCAAATGACCTAATCTGAGGAAAAAATAGAAATTGATTAAACAATGTCACTCTAGTGGGTCTAAAACTGACCGTATGGTGAAAGAAAGGAAATAAAGTGGTTGTTTCAATTAATTTGCACAAAGATATATATATATATATATATATATATATATATATATCAATTAATAACATCACCATAAGGTCTGGCCACTCCTCCTCCCCCAATACAAAGTATACTTGAGAGAGATATGAAATTAATCCCTCCCTATACTCTACCATGTCTCATTAACTACTCCTTTTACACTCTCTGTTAAATTACAAAAACTTACACTACCCATCAATTTTAATTTCATTTTTCGTTTCATTTCATTTTTGGAAGTGCTATCTGATGATCCAGTGTCCTTTAAAAGGGCTCTGGTGAAATAAATTATTATAATGGTACCTTAAAGTGTTCTTTTTTTCTTTTAAATATTAGCTCTGATTTACATTGAGCTCTCAGGATTTCATCCTCCTTGGGATTACCCATATGGATTACCAAGTTCTTCATAAATATATATATATATATATATATATATATATATATATATATATATATATTGTTATGGCCAATTAAAAGTTGTCATCTCGAAGATGCCCAGGTTTACGACTTCACAGTGGAAGGATTAAGTGCAATGTCAAATACACGATTTCAGAATAATAACCAACAGTGATCAATGACAAACGTCAATATACAAATTGACAAGATTTAATTACAGCCAGACAATACATGAAAACATTTAGATATGAGAATACATAGAAGGATGTGTGCTATACATTTCTACATGGAATGATGCATGCTTTATTTTATGAGGGCAAAAGTTGAAAGAAAAACTTAGCTTCAATTCATCTTCAGAAATAAAATAAGGTTTTCTCTTTGTCCCTTCTCTCTGTCTTTCTATTATAATTCTCTTTTTCCCTTCTCTCTGTCTTTCTATTATAATTCTCTTTTTCCCTTCTCTCTGTCTTTCTATTATAATTCTCTTTGTCCCTTCTCTCTCTCTCTCTCTCTCTCTTATAATTCTCTTTTCCCCTTCTCTCTCTCTCTCTCTTATAATTCTCTTTGTCCCTTCTCTCTCTCTCTTATGATTCTCTTTGTCCCTTCTCTCTCTCTCTCTTATAATTCTCTTTGTCCCTTTTCTCTCTCTCTTATGATTCTCTTTGTCCCTTCTCTCTCTCTCTCTCTTATAATTCTCTTTGTCCCTTCTCTCTCTCTCTTATAATTCTCTTTGTCCCTTCTCTCTCTCTCTTATAATTCTCTTTGTCCCTTCTCTCTCTCCCTCTCTCTCTTATGATTCTCTTTGTCCCTTTTCATTTCAAACCAGTTTGGTCGCTCAAGTAGTGATGTCCTTTGATCTATTCTTCTTACTTCAACGTTGCATTCATCATCTGGTCATTTAGTTTCGGTACTTCAGAAATTGTATATTTGATTATTGTTGTAGCATACCTACAGACAATAATGGGTATGTCCCCATTCACATAAATACAGTAGTAAATACTGTATGTTGGTCTGCAAGTTGGAGATTCATCTTCAGCTGTGTTGGTCAAACTCTGCCTCCAAGCAGACAGGATCCCCAGATGAGGCTATGTCAACAAGCAGAGTCTTGTCTCAGGAAACAGTTAACCGATTCTGTTTTATATGGGGTCTCCAGAGAATTTTTGGCTAAACCTATGGGCTTGGATGCCCCACATTAAATTCGGCCTTGTGTCACATTTGACTGAGTGGGGCAGTTAGTAAATATCCTGCAGTTGGATATTCATTGTGGTATTCACTTGACTCACTTCTAGCAGTTGACTACTTCTTCTTTGTGCCGCTGGCAAATCTTATATGTGTTGTTCTTGTTCTAAGTATTATTGTTCATTATCAACCTCTGTGTGATTATTCTATTCAGTAACCTTCCCTAGGTTACAACAGTTATGAAGATTCGATGATGTATAAGTCATAGGTTAGCTGTACAGAATTCATTTTTTGGATCCTTCATTCAATTATTTATATCACATATGCAAAATTTTAGGTGAGGGATACGTTTCACAATTCACCGATGTACCTTAATGTAAGCTGCATAGTGTTAAGTTAAATTGGACTTTGTCTGATCGTGTGGTCTTTTTTGCTTGACTGTAACAAGTGAAAGAGGAATTGTCTGCGCAAGACTCATCTCTGTTTAATTCTGTGTCGGAGTTTCGTGTGAATTTGGGTTATAATTCCTTCTCTTCAATTTGGAAAGTCAGTTCACATGAGAATTTAATATACAATCTGTTTCCTTCGAGGTTCATCACCCAATTGAATTCTGTCAATCTTTCCTGCTCGATCGTTCGTATCTGGTTACATGATTTGTAATGTGTAGGAGAATCTATTTTTAGCTTTTGCTTCCATCTGTGATCGTGATCGTCAGTATGACAACTGTCTTTGCATTCAGGAACTGCTGTCATATACCAAAATAGAGAGAGGGAGAGTTCATGTATTATATTGTTAGAGAGAGGGGAAAAAAGAGATGGGTCACTAAGTGTAAGATTTTGTGTGGGTATGGGAGGTGAGTTGTGGAAAGCTGTAACAATATATATATATATATATATATATATATATATATATTCTTTTTATAGATACAGATATTTAAGTAAATGCTCTGTTTACAATAAACAGTATTAACAACATTTACCAGCCTGAGTGTCCAAGAAATTTTCATAGAAAATATGCATCTTCCAACAGGAATCGAACCTGTATGTTATACGAAACCGTCATATAGCCTGACGTACTTTTATCAATTGAGCCACCGAGGGGCATTTCGGTTAGCAAGGTCGATTTGACTGTTTTTAAACTACAATTAAAATCGCCCTTGCTAACTGAAATGCTCCTCTGTGGCTCAATCAAGCATTTACTTAAATATTTGTACCTATAAAAAGAACGTATAAACAAACCTAAGATATGTCTTAAAATAATTGTCTGACTTTTTGTTCAATATATATATATATATATATATATATATATATATATATATATATATATATATATATATATATGTGTGTGTGTGTGTGTGAAAAGTGTGTGTATTTAAATATAAATAAAAATATATATATATATATATATAATTATTTATATATTATATGATGCGCGGTACTTATTAGAAAGCACTCAATATCAGAGATAGAGCTAACATATTTGGTTGGATAGTTGTGAGTTTGTGACCCTGGGTTTCACGCTTTTTATATATATATATATATATATATATATATATATATATACATAAGGGAAATATGTATAACAAAGTGTAAAAAAGTTTTTTGTATGATACAATTCATCCTTTAGGGCAGAGATCCCCAATCTTTTTTCTCTGAATGAAAATTTGCTAGCACCTGACCAAATTTTATGTGATGAAAAGTACATTTAAAAATAAAAAACAAGAGAGGGTTAAAGGGAGATAACTGCAGATTCGAAGTCAGAACATTATTGATAACTCTGATATATATATATATATATATATATATATATATATATATATATATATACACGATTGGTGCAGCATAATTAATATTACAATGAAGCAGTCATACAAAGAATAAATTAGTAAGGTTAGTGTAATAAATGGTGAATTGACTTCACTAACAAATTTAAAAAGTATTAACCCACGAACAACTAATTGAATGATGTGATCCTTGTTTTTAAATGTTCTGTATGTTCCATAAATATGCTAGTACTTTTGATAGGTCATCCTATCATCATCAGGCATGGATATTATTTTTCTTTTAAGGCAACATCCAAGACGAAAATAAATGTAATGTAATTTTTATATATATATATATATATATATATATATATATATATATATATATATATATATATATATATATGAAAAATATATAGAAAATAGGATAGAACTCATTAGGTAAATATTCAAAGTTCTTTAGTATTTTTGTTATTATTTTTAAAAAATAGTGCTCGATACAAAAGTAGAGCCTAAATATAATTACAGTGTAACCCGGATATAAGAGAATTGTCGGGACCGGAGAAGAAGTCTCTTATATCCGGGTTTCTCTTATATCCGGGTTTGGTCTATTTTATATAACACAGGCTCTAATTTGGGACCAGAGAAAATCTCTCTTATATCCGGGTTTCTCTTATATCCGGGTCTCTTATATCCGGGTTACACTGTATTTATTTAAAAATATGATTCCAACATGCCTCTTTAATGTGAAAAATATATAGAAAATAGGAAAGAACTCATTAATTCAATTTAATTCAAATAATTATATTGAAGTTTTCAGCTCTTGTTTTGAAACATGAGAACTCTTATGTAGCGTGTTGGAATCATATTTTTAAATAACTAATTATATATATATATATATATATATATATATATATATATAGTAAAGGTATATAATGCAAGTGGATCCTAGTAATATAAAATATTAAAACTGATCCACAAAAAGAGCTCAATGTATTTATTACTACAGAGCAACTAATAAATAATAAAATCCCAAATCACCTCATATGAGGAATAGCCTATTTTGGCAGAAGAAGATATCAGTTGTCTGTTTTATCAACCCCAGTGTGGACTGAGTTCATGTCAGAAATAAAAATTTAACTGTGAAATAATCCAGAATTTATCCATTTCAATGTTTCAGTCAGAATATAAAGACAAAATGGAAACTTATCTTAGCTGATGGGTTTTTGTCCTCTCTGACCGACTTTATCAAGACAGATGTAAGGATTTTATTTTGCAGCAAGTATCTCTACACAGAAGTAAAAATGTTGTTAGTTTTTTCAGAATATGCTCGTCAATATACTTCAAGCTAACTGAAAATCATGAAGGGTTTTAAATGATGTAATAATAAATAGTTTACCTTGACTTGCAATTAGCCTGAAGTATATTTGTGAGAGGTCATAATTTTCAAAATTCTGGAAAGCTAAAACATTTTTACATCTGTTTACAAATACATGTTGCAAAATAAAATCAATCCATACATTTGCCTTGATAAATTCATCAGAGGATAAAGAATTTTAATATAAGTTTTCCTTTTGCCTTTATTCATATTGTCTTTTAGATTTTTAAAAGCCTCAATGAGAAATGTGCATTCCTTAAATAGATAATTCAAGTGTAGTGCTATCATCACTCTTCGTATTAAATTTGAAAATAAATTAGTTATCCCTAATATTAGATTGGTGCAAAAATAATGCCGTTTTTTGACGTTAAGTTGAACGTCAAAAAACGACATTATTTTTGCACCGACCTAATACTAAGATCTTTAAGAGCATGTCCAAGACAACTGAAGATATAATTAGGTGCATTTGAACGCATAAATAATATTGTTTGTTATAATTTTGATTTTGCTGGTGTGTTGTTATTTTTGAGGATAAGGTTAGCTGTTTTAAATTTTTTGTAGCAGATATTTAATTTGATTTTTTGTTCAGGTTAATTGGGGCTGTGTATTTCTTTAAATTTCTTTGTATTTCAAATGCCCCTTAAGGAACTGTGTTCCTGATCAAACCGATTTCATAAATATTGATCACACAACTACATGCCTATCCAGACGCCTTACTTTACATCTATCCAACCACAGCTCTATTAGAATCCATTGAAACACACACACAAACTTAGCAGACTCCATCTAAAACAAACTAGTAGAAAATACAAACATAATAACCTCATCCACATGTAAAAAAAGATTAAAAATAATGGAAGCCTTAATAATAAAAAAGAAAAAATCCAGCACTTAATAATATTAACTACGAACACGGCCACAATGTGTTGACTGTGTTCGGGAAATAAAACATCCCTATAACTCTAGAAACATACACACACTCCATACAGACAATTAAAAAGCTAAAATGAAATCATCCTTGATAATGGCTAAAAGTATGGACGAAAGCACACGGAATTACAGAACATTTGGACAGTTTCTACACACTCTGTGTCCAGAAAAGAAAACAATTGTTTAAACACAAGAAAAATGAAATATAAAGCTTAATTGCAGTATGTTGTCTGTTGTTTTAATTTTATATATATATATATATATATATATATATATATATATATATATGTAAGCAAATATATGGATATAGATACATGAAAAGACGATGGAAAAGACAATCTTGAAAAATTTCAGTTAACTGTTTTGATCAGTCTTACTCTTATGTCCACCGTCTTTTCATGTTGAATTGAATATAGTCTAATGTTAATTATGTTTTATGAATATGTCCTAAAGATGGTCTACTAGACCGAAACGT